GAAGAAGAGCGAGACGACGGGGTTCCGGTCTGGGGTGTCTGGCAAGGCGGGGGCCGATGGCGGCCGCGCCGCGCTCACCTTTCCGCTCCATGGCCGCCAACGCCGGCGCCCCCCGGCGCCTGCGCTGCGCCCGCCCCTGCGTCGCGCCGGGCCCGCCGGGCTGGGCACGCGCGGCTCGGCGGCCTCGAGCCGGGGAGCGGCTCCTCCCTCGGCACCTCCCTCCTCGGGGCCGCCCCGCCCCTGAGCGCAACGGCCGCGAGTGACGCGATGAGCTCCGTTCGTCGCCCGCCCCCGGGGGCCCTCGGGGCGCCCGCCGGCGTCCCGCGCCCGCACCCGTCTCTCCTCAGCGCGCAAAGCTTTGCGGTGAACCGATGTGTAAAGTCGTGTGCCCTGATAGGAGTGTAATGCCTCTTAAGAGATTTTTAATATTTAACCATTTATTCAATAACGACCATGAAAAAAACCTTTTCAGTTGCTGGGCCGTTCAGACATTTTGCTGCACGCACTGAACAAATACCTGTGTATAAGGTGGTTATATATTCACCTTAGAACTTTTGTATGTTCCACTATCTGCAGTTTTCTTAACACCATTTTACTCCTCAAAACTACTTGCAGCTCTGTTCATAAGCATGTTACATATTCTGTCAGGTGTCTGTCGAGGGTTCCTGTCAGGAAGCCACAGAGGGAGTCAAGGCCATCAGCTGGGACTGGAGCATGAGCCATGTCTGGTCTGCTTTTAATGTCTAGGACATTTTAAGCATGCCCAAGAGGTGGGCCCTTTGGCATCAGATCATGAATATTTTCAGGGAAAGGCAGGTATGCATGTGTGCAATTTTGGAAGACAGAAAAATCCTCTTTGTAATTGTTGCTGTTATCTGGTCCTTCCTCCTCGCTTCCTGTGCAGTGTGCCCCGCTGCCACGCATGGCCCCAAGAACTGCTTCTGCCATGCTCTGCATGGTGTCCGAGCTTCCTCAGCTGCTTTATATCTTCTGCAGCTATTTATGCATAGGAGTAGCATGTGACTAAAACCACAACTGAGCTGAGGGTGGTTATATGCATGCTGCACTATCAGCAATGAAAATGTGCATGTCTGGGGATGTGTATCCTCTAATTCAGTGCAGTGGGAGAACAGCCTGGATTTCTGCAACATGCCCTGCTAGGAAAACATCATGGCATCCGACTAGCTGGAAAGAATATGAAAATGTTGTTGCATGCACAAAACAACAGTAGTTGTAGCAACTATGTCAGGTGAGAATGTCAGGCTGCCAACAAACACAAGATTACAAACAGGCCTTTGAATTCTGTGGTTTCTTAGAGGTATAGGTGGAATACTTGGCTATAAAGTACATGCTTTGTACTTCACAGCCCATGTCCAGAGATTAAACACAGAAGCCTTGTGTGTATGTGGAAGCAAAGTTATGGCACCATGCAACTGTAAGGGAAAAAGATCAGGATTGACTGCATTTCCTCTCAGTAAGATATTTGTTTTGCAGGATGAATACCCGTAATTAGCATGCTAACATACTGACTCTGATTTGTCCCCTGGTGCTTAACTCTGCAAAGTCATGAAGATTGGAACTTTGCTGAACAAGACAAAAAAAAAAAACTCTTAAGTTTTCAGTGGAGACTTTTGATGTTGCCAACAGCTAGGAATGCCATTTCATGTTAAATCAAGGCTAACATAGGACAGCCAACAGAATCTGGAAATTAGGGCTATACTTTTCAGGGGTTTTATATTACTTGTTTTGAACAGAGCTGAGAGGAGCTTGGCATGAAGCCACTGTCCAAAACAATGTAGGGAAGCATATGTGGTTTGATAATTACTCAATGCCATTTGGGCTTTCAGTTTTTCCTGTCTTTCAGTCCAAAAGGTTTGAGGGTTCCAGGACTCCATTTCCTCTACAGTAAGAAACTCTACACTATAACATTCACTAAAATCCTTTACCACTGCAGTTTACACCTATGCCACCTCCCAAACCACAAATGTTTCCTGTGTTACATTATTTAGTAAGTCGATTAAATCAGGACTTGACCTACATGTTCTATTTTGCATCTATGTTTTTAAATAAGAATTTCCAGTAGCTAAACTCTGACTAACCCCACCGCCCAGTGTTCCTTCTTCTGCTTTTTAATTCCCTGGCAATGTTGGTGATTTTCTATGTACAATCCAAATATAAGTGACCCTGACTGCCCAGGGCTTCTGGCAGCTTGGAAGTGTGAACAGTGAGTGGGGGACTTACACCAATTAACATTATAGACCTGAGTCCCTTTCCATAATTTCACTGTCCAGGGTGACTACGCACTAGGCTGACAAGGGGGTACCAAATGGAGAACAGAGAAAACACATGAGATAAGGAAGTGGAAAAGAAACAGGGGAAAGATTATGAGGAAGCAAGGCAGACATGGTTTTTAAACAATGAGTTAGGTGAGGGAATAAAAGATATTTTCTTATTAAACATCGAGTGCAATGATAATGTTTCCAATAATATTACCTATGACTTCAGAGCAAAAATGCTCTTTGAACTCTGGGCAAGACCTATTTTATTGCACTGGGTGTTTCTGGGTGGACAGGTGGACAGACTCATAACTTTAGATCATGTCATAGTTATACACAATTCAACCTTTTCCATCAAGTGATTTTGTTTCTCTGACTCTAGAATTTCATCCAAGCTCCTTCTTACATTTTGTTGTAAGATATAAAAAGACAGTGCTGGAACAGAGGGCTACTGCACAATCTGAAGGATCTCACTATTACAGAAAGTAATCTTGTTGACAAGTCTTCATGGTTTATGAAAACTAGAAAACACAATAGCAACTCAAACTACAGCTCCATTTACTTGAATTTATCACCAGGAAATGGCTTTACAGCAGCATAAGTTAGACAAGACCCACAGTTTCAGGCTGCAGTACCACACATAGCTAAGCTGATGAAAGAGCTAGTTATATAGAAAGAAGGCTGGCTCCCCTGCTTTCTTTTCCCTGTGTGGTCCTGTCCCTTCTGGCAGCAGCAAGCTGATAGATTAGCTCAGCACACCTTGTAGAACCTCACCCATAGGCAGACCTGAGTCTCCAGACCTGTCATGGTCTCAAAACAACAGTTTAAGTTTCAGTATATGTTCAGTATACACGCTGAAACAAAGCCCAAATAAATGATGAATCAGAAATCCTATATTTACTTTCTTAGGAGCGCTTTGTAGAGTAGACACAGCCATAACCTTTGAGAGTTAACTCTGGATCCAAAAAGAGATTCAGAAGGAAAACTGGTCAAACAAATGGTCAAACAAAACTAAAACAAACCATGAAGATCACCGAGACCTGCTTGTTCTGATACTGCAACAGGGACTCCAGCACTATATTTACTGTCTTGTACATGTACGCATGCCCTGATCATTCTAAACCACAGAGAGAGTTCAGTGTGTCTGACATTGAGCACAATTACCTCTTTTCAAGGCAAAGTCATACAACGAGCAAAACTAACATGAAGCAAAAGAGTTTTGCAAATTAAAGGCATTAAAAACCTTAACATGCCAAGAAGTGGTTATTTTTTAGATGCCAGCAATGTTAACTTTCAGCTGTTCACTCCTGTGGTTTGGACTACAGTCACAGCAACATAGGACAGGGTGCTACTGTTACACTGCACAGAGGAGGAGAAAGGTTTTGAGATGGGAAGGCGAATGTTTTAAAAGCAAGCTTCCATATCCCATTTAGAACGTTTCTGTCTTGCATAGTATTGCAAGACTCTTAAGCTTGAGATCAAAAGCTAAGTGGCCTTACACACAAATCCCTAACAGTTTATTTGCTGTGATACTCTGTACTTAATACCTGGTGAAGACACTATGGGTTTCACTCCAAAATATGTTTAACCAGCAGCACTTAATGACTTCATTGAGTCTTACACATGTACTTGAAAGCAAGCACTTCGTATCTTTGTTATTGCAAGGCCATTTTCAGTATCGAGTAGTTTATTCTCCAAACACACAGAGAAAAATCAGGGCGCTGGGAAATCTGTGCAGGGAGATCTCAGCTCTCCCCATCACTCCTGGCTTGACACCTCTGGAAGGGAACAAACTCTCCTTAGCAAGTTTACAAGAACAATTAATACTGGCTTGCAAGACTTCAGAAGCACTAGAGCTCCCCTGGGATACACCCTGGCAGGCAGTTACTCACTCTGCACCTGCAGGAGTGCTGCCCCAGGTATGGTTTTTTATCTATTTTTTCTTTTCTTTTTTACTTCTAGTACAGCCTTAGGGATCCAGCGCAGAAGAGCCGAGCAGGGCCCACAGCGGCGTCGGAGGCACCGGCGGCCCGGCCCGGCCTTGCCCAACTCCGGCGCGCCCACACCGCGTCCTCCGCCCCCGGGGCCGCTCTCGCGAGAGACCGCCGCGCGCGCTCCATATTGGGGCATCTCTGTCCTTGGCACCGGAGCTCTCGCGAGCGCGGCCGTGACGAGCATTGGGCCGTGCGGGGTGTGCGGGGCCTGTGCCCGGGATCGGTGCCCGGGCGGTGCGGGGTGTGCGGAGCCGGTGCCCGGGCTGTACGGGTACTCGGGGCCGGGGCCGCTTGGGGCGGGGCAGAGGCGGCGGCAGCTGCGGTGTCGCCTGCGCGGTCCTACCTGCGGCGGGAGTGTGTCCCCGCCCCGCACGTCGGCGCCTCCGCCTCGCTCGCTGCCGGCTGCGGGACCCCTGCTGCGCCTCACGGGGCCATCCAGCCCCTCGCGGCTTAACCCGGAGGAGAGAGAGCAGGGCGGGAAGGCGGTGACAGGGCCACGTTCGGCATCGCCCCCCGCGTCTTTTGGAGGGGGGGCAGTGGCGGCGCGGAGCGCAGGCGGGCGGGGCGTGTGGGGCCGGCGGCGGCTGCGTGGGCGTCCCTGCTGCGGGGCCGTCCCCGCCTGGGGAGCAGCGAGGCGGGGAGGGGAGGGAGCGGAGGAAAAAAAGGAAGGAGGGAAGGAAGAAGTTGTCCCTGCTGCAGGAGGAGGTAGTGGCGGCGTCGGTGCTGCTGCTGCTGCAGCTGCGGGCAAAGCCTCCCCCTCCCGCCGAGCCGGGCCGGGCGGGGCTGGCTCCGCAGCCGAGATGTCTCAGGAGCGGCCCAAGTTCTACCGGCAGGAGCTGAACAAGACGGTGTGGGAGGTGCCCGAGCGCTACCAGAACCTCTCCCCGGTCGGCTCCGGGGCCTACGGCTCCGTCTGGTGAGTGCTGGGAGGGGACCGGGCTGTGCGGAGGAGGTCACGTTAGGTCGCTGCCCCCCCCTGCCCTGCAGAGACCCACGGCGGGATCCGTGCGGGGCGGGCACCGCGGCGAGCGGAGCTTGCTTATCCTTTGGGGGTTCCTCTCCCTCAGCTTTTTACTGTCGAACAGTTTTCCTCACGGTTTAAGAGGGATACTGCCGGGAAGCCGCAGTCTTGTCTTTGGAATGCGTTGGGGATTGCACCACACGGCAGGTGGTACTGAAACATTTTTGTAGGGGAAGATAATAATGTGTCGTCCCAGTCCCCCCGCCCCGAATGATCTCATATAGACATATTTCACTGTGCCTTCTTGAGTTAGTAGGTGGGGGCTGGGGAGGCATGGAGCCTGATAAGTCCCCCATGGCTGGTTTTGCAGAGCTGAGGGCCTGGCAGCTCTTGTCGCAGTTTCTTTCTGGACGTGAAGAATAGATTATATTTGAGGCAATTGTATTTTAAAATGGAATTTGTTAATAGGCAGGGAGAAGTAGAGGGGAGGCTACGAGGACTGTTATTGTATCCCTGACTTGCAGTGGGTGTACAAGTACCGATGTTTTCTTGGCATTAGTAGACAAACACAGGAAAACTCCTTTTATTGCTGTAGAAGGACAGAGTTACTGCAGTGTGTTCTCCCTGGGAGAGTAAAGTCCTGGTATGAATCCTGCAGAAATACAGCGAGCTTGAAGAGTTTAGTTTTTAATTCTTACCTAATAGGAGCAAAACAGGCTACATGTGTGAAATATAGTACATCCTTAATTTGTAGTTGCTCTGCTGAAGTATGTTGGATCATTAAACATAAATGGAGTTGCATGCATTGCTTAATCTTAAAGACAAAGTAGTATTTGGATCAGTTTGACGGCTAGATTTTAGCAGTCATTTAGTAGAGCTGTATAGTGTTCACAGATTACTGTCTCCCTTTCCTAAGAAACATCTTCCACACAATCATTCTGTTTTTCATTCTGTGTTCTTTGGTTCTGTCAGAGTGTGATCAGAATTTGCAAATATGGGTGCGTAATGATTACACAGCTGCTCTGCTGTTGTGTTTGAGCTGGCATGCATATTTTTTATTAACACAGTGTGCAAATTTATATCATGAGTATCAATTTTATTATAAGGAGGGATGCATGCTAGTAAAGAATTTTGCATGTGCTATGGTTTTAATGAACTGCTCTCAGCTGTTCTTAACTTCTTCAGTTATAAAATTGTTGCTAAGTTGAGCTGAAATGACGTGCATTTCTTAAAATGCTGAGCCTCAAGTATGCAAATGCCTCCATTTCATAAAAGAAAAAACGGCTGTTTAATTTTGTGGCAAGATTAACCAGTATACTTGTTGATTTTTTTTTTTAATAGAATCATAGAATGGTTTTGATTGGAAGGGAGTAGACAGGTTTTGTTTGGTGAAAGTAGGGCCTTGTTGATGGAGCTGATAAATACCCCTGTAAGTATCACAGAGTTATGTAACTCCTGAAATGTAATGGTAGATTAATTTACTCAGTGCCTTGTACATTGTATTTTAAGGCTGATTCTGTATTGTCTAGCCCACTCCTCTTTTCCCCCTCCCCACAATCTCCACTGTGTGTAATAGTTCCAAAGCTTGTTTTCATAACCAGTAACTAAAGAGTTTGCATTGTGAATTTCCTGTTTTGCTGTGTCAAAACTTTCAAAGATTGTGCAACTGTGTTCAGACCAGATGAAACAGTGTTGTATTGGAAGCAATTTCAAACATGTGGCACATGAGCCTTTCTACAGTCCATGTTAATAGCTTCCTGTATGTTCTTCTAAAAATAGGTTTCAGAAAATATATAGTTCAAAAAGGCTAGTGATACGGAAAGTATGTCAAAGTTAAAAAAATCAACAAACAAAAGTCTTCACATGTAAGTTTATTAAGCTACAAGTGGTGATTCATATTATTTAGGATATTCCTGCAATGACTTGTTCTGCTCTCTATCCCTTTAGAGATTTTTTTTTTTTCCTCCCCAGTAAAAAGTTACCTGGTTTCATTTGAGACTTTGAGTTTGGTGTATCTTTGTTGGGATAGTAAATAGTGGGGGTTTAACCACCCTTAAACCAAATGCTTAAATATACTTCAGTATATATTTGCTGCATGATCATATTCAACTGTAGTACAATGCTCTGTTGTTTATTTAGTTGCCAAGATGAGGCATTTGAAAATGAGGGATTTCTATATAGTGGAGGGGAAAATTAATAAAAAAGAAAGAATTAAACCAATAGATGAATCACTTAGACTGTGGAGCTGTCGGGTGCTTTGAATGTCTGTTGTGAGTCGGAACACCCTGATACACGAACTTGACTGTTGTGTAGTCAGTGGATGGAGAGAGAGGCATTTTCTGCAGGCAGCCTGAGACACACGCCTAAAGTTAGAGCAAATATTGCAGGTTTTTTCAAAGGATGGTGTGCAGTATTGGAAGAATGATGTTCAAATGGCCAGCTCAGGTATTTTTCAAGATCTGTTTTAAGAAATGGAAATATGTGGAGATGCATGTAGGAATTCAGTTCTGAAATTTGGAGAAAAATCTGGATGTATCCTCCCATTGATTCTTACTAAGTCATATAACAATTGCTGTGACATCTGTTGTGTGAAATGGTATTTCATTTATTCTTGCAGCAGTTTTGTATATTCATACAACATAGTCTTTTGTGTGAAAAAGGTTTTGTAACCAGGCCTACACTGGAAAAAAAAGGGTTCCTGATATATCGGTCTTGTAATGTTATTTAAGGAGGAGAGGGGCCTAGACAATACAACATCTTGCAGTGGGAAGTTGCTGAACAGAGATGGGATTGATGGGTGACTCACAGGTTAGTTGGAGGATTGCTTTGCTTCTTGTGTGTGCTGGTGAGAAGTCTGGGCATGTGGCATTAGTTCAGCCAGTTCTAAGCTAAGCAAAACAGTGTTTTGATAATTTTTACCATCAATTTCTAAAATGCTGTGAAGGCACACTCAGTATACTCTTAGTTTACTTTGTAGTTGTATTTTTAGCAGCTGCTGTTTGTGTGTTATATTGATACCTGTGTAAAATAATGGATCTGGTTTAATTCTTTGCAAGCTGTCTGTATGACCTTAATTAATTTGGAAAGTAGTTGAACAGCCAAAACTTATTCTTCCTCAAAATCTTGCATAAGATTTTTTTAAATTTGGTTTTGTTGGGTTTGGTTTTTTGGTAGACTGTCAGGTGATACAATCCTTGCAAAACCTTTGATTTCTTCCCATTTCAACCCACAGTTGTACTAACAGTGAGTCTGAATGTCTTGGATACTGAGATAATTACCAGACAAACATATGGAAATTTTAAAATTTAAAATTTAAGAAATTTTAAAACATCAGGCTCCAGAGGGAATTAAATAACAACCCTAAATATCACCTCTGTAGAAGCATGCAGGTGCCTCTAAAGCATGTATGTGCTTGAAGGGACAGGTGCCTGCTTCTCCTGTAAGGTGTGGTAGATATGTGAGGAGTGATATGAAAAGAACTACAAAACTGAGTGGGAGGAAGCAGCCGTACAGACAGGATTAGCAGAAGATGTGTGAGGAAGGGAGAATCGAGTAGGAGAAGGGCAGGCACAGAAAAGCCATGGGCAGAGCTCTGAAAATGCTGGCAAGTAGTTTGAGCTTTATGGGAACTTTTTATATTAAGAAGTGAAATTAGTGTGAAGACATCTGTCCAAAGGGAGATTTTTATTGCAACTTTTTTAGAAGCAGAAGCTAGTGTAGCAGAGGCGAATGAGATTTACAACTTAGTGTGTTGGGAGAGTAACTGACTGAAATGCAGGTACAGGTTGAACTCAGAAGTGACTGGTGTTAATAATAAACTGTCAGGTACTAAGAACTGTGTTTTTCTGTCTGTGACTGGGGGTATATAAATTAACTTCAAAGGTACCACTGAAGATACTCAGTTAGCTTAGGTATTTGCACTAGCAATGTGCAGCATACTATTTAGCAAAATAGCCTTTGCAAAATAATCTTTCTGATTATCTCGTATTTAAATAAATTGTGTTCATAAGTAATTTTGTGCATACTTTAGTTCCTCAGACTACTTCAAATGTTGCTTCTAAGATCTAAGTTGGATCAGTTTATAGGTTCTCTAAAATATTTGTTTTATTCTACCTTTTATGTTCTGGATTTAATTCAGATTAGCTCAGAATTGTAATTCTAGCTTGCTTTGGGTGAGGTGGATGCAATTCATTTGCCATAGCACAGTACTATGTAAGAGGTTAAAAAATGTATGATAAATTCTGAATTTGTGCTGATCCTGTTTTAAAAGAGATTTAAAACTGTACATCATGCAATTTTTTTACCCAATTGGGCTTCATTAGCTGAAATATGATCAGTATTATGCAGCTCTTTTAAGTCTGTGATGGAAGCCAGATTCATGTTCTTCAAAATGCTCTCCAACTGACAGCTGTCCTGTAGCTCCATGAGAACCATTAGACAGATTATCTGTATTGGCAGAAAATTACTCAGCATGCTTGTATCTGTAGGGAAATAGTCTTTAGGCCTCAAATGTGACCAAACTTAGTCTTCTGACTTTAAGAGTAAGTCTAGATTGTGAATGTGCAGTAGTACGAAACTTTCTTTCCTGAGCTTGTGCACAGTGTCATTGTTGCAGTGCTGCTGATGGCAATTCCTCTTGGGCATTGTACAGCTACTATAGCAGCATAATAACTTGATACAGCCCCAAAAATTGTCATTAAAAAAAAGATGAAACTGAATTTCATTTGGACCCTGAAACACGTTATGTTATGTCTGATGGCTCTGAAATCTTCTCAATATCTTGGAAACCATCAGTATGAAAGAGTTACTGGTATATGCTGCATTTTGTACCTGAAATGTTTGAAAACTGATAAAGATTCATGACTAATTCACAACAGCATGTGTTGAATTATGATAACTAATCTTATTTTTGCTCTAAGTCCTAGAAAACACCTTATGTATCAGTAAAATATTGTCAATGTAATTTCAGGCCGAATTAGGGATCTTGGTATATTGCAAAATGGTGTATGTATTTCATAAAGTGTTGCAGCTTAAATATTTATTTTTCTAGTGGTGTGTGAGAACTTGCTAATTTCAAATCAAGATTAAAAAATGAATGCTTAATGTCTTCTTTTGTCTACTCAAGCTGAGTGGGGTGTAAAGGATAACGTGTGGAAGCAGTTGCTCACAGGCATTCTTTGAGCCAGTATGATGTAGCTTCAGTAATTCAGCTGTGGCGGGTTGGTGCTCCTGTGACCTGCTGTCTGTACTCCTGTATGTTTTCCAGAGAGCTCTTTCCACTGTGTGTATGCCCTTTATAGAAAAGGAGATACTCTTCTTCCACTGTGCACAGTGGGTGTTTCCATTCTCTGGCAGGACCTGGGGAAAGGATCCCTCTTTGTAGAAATGAACCAATACTGTGTTTTCTATTTCTCATGAACCTCATTTACGAAGTTCCTTGGAAACTGGGCAACTTTGAGCTAAGAAGTCTTTTTGCAGGTTAATTCCAGTTGATTGCTTTAAGAATAAATGACAACTACATTTATTTCAAATAGCTGCTTTGGCAGGGTGGGCATTGTGGGTTGCCCGTGCGATTGTGGGTTTGTTCTAGGGTTACTTTTTTGATTGGTTTTGAACTTTGTTAGTTAAGCTTTACATTTCACCTTACATTTATAAATGTGTAGCGTTCCTTTTTGCTTGATGTTTATCAAGAACTAGTACATACTCACTTTTAGATGGAAGCAGGAATTCACCTGAATCATAATGCAGCAGGAAAATAAATACTGTACTTCTATGACTTTCTTCATTCCATACTCTCCTCATGTTTGTTGTCTTAAGTCAAGTGCTACCTTGATTTCACATCCTCCCTTTCTCCTTCTCCTTCCTTTTGGACAGACCAGAGCTTTATAAGTTATATAAGGACTTAAAAAAAAGATAATTTTACAGTACAAAGCATAAAAAACCCCAAACCTATTTGTACAAAATTTCTGCTAAAGGGACAAGTTTTGGTAATGTACAGCTAATTATCATTTATTCATGTGCATTTTTGTATAACAGAACTTTAGGATTGGATGTGATTTACCAAAGAAATTTGATTTCAGCTTCAGTCATAGTTAACAACAGTCATATATGATTTTACTAGGCATAAGTCTTGGATTTTTGTATGGACTTAAATCCATGAATGGTAGTATTTTGAGCTTAGCATTTTGTGATGAATTGTGGTGTATGAAAGTATGTTTAGGAATTGTGATAATATTTACAAGCACTCTCCCTCTTTCCAGAGCTTTATTACATATTTATGTTTAAGAGCACTTTAGACAGCAAAGTCAGAAACATTTCTTTTTTTTTTCTACAAAATTTCCCTTTACTGTATGGACAAGACCCTTTACTGTATGGACGTGTCTCTTAAACATTTTCTGTAGAAACCAACAGTTGTGTAAATATGTGGGGATTTTGGGTGGGAATGCAGGTTATGGACCAGGATACCTAGAAATTATTTTCGTTGCAGAAACAGTGTTGACTGTGACTCAGTATCTAGATAGCTGCTGCCTAGAGTTTCTAAGTGTGGATTTGAAGGCATTTATAAAGAATTCATTTGGATAATTTGATTACTCTTTGTTGTAGCTCTGCCTTTGACACAAAAACTGGGTTGCGTGTGGCTGTGAAGAAGCTGTCCCGCCCATTTCAGTCCATCATCCATGCCAAAAGGACCTACCGAGAGCTGCGGTTGCTTAAGCACATGAAACACGAAAACGTAAGTTGAAGGAGATGGTATGAAATATTTCTCTGAAGTTGGACTATCCAGTGAGCATCCATCATGATTGTATTTAAGATCTTGCTGCATATGATTTTTTCCTAATGCTAAATACAAAGCTTGCAGTAGTCCAAGGGATTATAGTTGTAAAAAAGCATGCAGAGTAAAAAAAAAAAAGCAACCAAACCCAAAAAACCCACAATAGCCAATTTTGTGTTAAAAAATCTTAAATGTTCTATAGAATATAATCTTGAAGTTACAGTTTAGCAAGTTCATGCTGTCATAAAGGTTTGGGACACAAGTGATGTCACTTACATTCTTGTGTTTGTTTGCTGTAGTAAACTGCAGTTTTTGTTATGTTAAGCATTTATTTAAAAAAAAAATCCCAAAGTTTGTTTTTAGTGGCTTCTGGAGGGTTTTTAATACTTGTTTTGGCTTGCCTGTATTAGAAGGGTGGGAAGTAGATGTTCACTAGATTCCTGTAGGTAAAATAGAGAGGAAAAAAGGGGTGGTGGTGAAGGGGTGGAAATTAGATAGCTTTTCATACAAGCGATCCACTTAAATTATCAACAAGGAAACAAAACAATGTGACAAAGTTTATGTTGAACTATTTTTTGATATAAGTTGCATTCGGTATAGAACACAGTTGGCTGACCCATTTCTTGTGTGTGTGACATTAACACACCAACATATTGTTACACTGCAGACTGTTCGGAGCAAGCATTACATGCAATGGAGCAAAAAGTCTCATCACGTGCAAATCTGGAAAGTATGGCAGTTTAAGGGGCTTGAGCATAAGGTAGTTTTCCATATCCTGTATGTAGTCTAGTTCATTATGATCTTGAGCAAGTAAATGAACCTGCAGAGCACTCAAGTGCGTCTGCATTATATTTTCAAGTTTCAGAAGGCCTCGTTAGCTTACATAAAGCATAACACTGAGCAGATGGAAATAAAAATGTCTACTGGAAGGAGTAGCTTCTATGCCACAAAGGATCTTAGTAATTGTATATTTCACAACTTTACTATTTTCTTTCTAGGTGATTGGCTTGTTGGATGTGTTCACCCCTGCCAAGTCACTAGAAGAATTCAATGATGTGTAGGTAACTTCTCTGAAGACTGCAACAAAATACCTTTTGTATCTTCTTTTATGTCTCCCAGATTATTACAGAAATACTTAACACCTTAATTCATCTGCCATCATTCACAAATAATTCTGAATTCCATCACAAAGATACTAGGACATCCTAAGCAATTGCCCTTGTCAAACTTGTTCACTTGGTGTGTTTTATTGACCAGTGCTGTTGGAATCAGCGTACTAATCTGCTACGTTATTTAAAGTGTTGTGGATATATTTCGTTCATTAACATGCTTTGGGACAGTCAGCCCTGCTACTGGAGATGCATAGAGAATTTTTATCCTAATCCTGTTGAAGAGATTGCTTCATAGCCCACGTGTTTCCTTCTGATAATAGGTACTTGGTGACACACCTTATGGGAGCAGACCTGAACAACATTGTGAAATGCCAGAAGCTCACCGATGACCATGTGCAGTTTCTCATATACCAGATTCTTCGGGGACTGAAGGTACGTGCATCTGTCCTACCCAAATGCTCATCAGCAGGAGGTGCAAGTTCTTGAGGAGTGTTATGTCCTCAGAGATTCTTGTGAGTACACAGTGGGGCTTCTGTAACTTTCCTAATGTATCGTAGGATAACTTTATATTATCGTTCTTTCATTTTATAGCTCTTTGGAGCTCTATATCAGTAAGGTTACCTATCATTTTTGTGTATTCCTGTGGGCAGAGTCTGGAAAACTATGAACTGATGCCCTCTAATCTGCTCTGACTATGAATTTACCCTTTCTTCAGTTTTGTTTACTTGTGTGGTTCCACTCAGGTGACAGCACTCCTGGGTGTTCCTAATGAGAGACAAACTGGAACACCTACCTACTTAAAACTTACAGACACACAGCCAGGTCCTTCTGCAGACAAGCTGTAGCATTTGAATTGTGTGGGCTGGTGTAGGGCAATATTTTCTGCTGAAGAAATGAAAAGGAGGCTACTTGGACTGTTATATAAAATTTATCATCTTTTTTTTTTACAGTACATCCATTCAGCTGACATAATACACAGGGTGAGTGTTTGTTCTAAGATTGTTTTGGTACAGGAAACACTGTCTTTAAAAAATGAAGCACAGAATTTTACCATGTAGCACTGATTGAAGACAGAAGAAATTTTCTGAGAATTAGTTTGGTTAAATAGTAAAAGGATTAAACATGGGAAGTGATTATCAAGATCTGTAACTTCTGTTTCTGCCTGTGTTCAGCTTGTATCTTTGTGAAGCAGCTTTTCTATTAATATACATATATTGCACTGGTTTTGCAATAATCCTTTATGCATTTTTGCTTATATGCGACACCTCTGAGGATGTCAGAAGAGATCTCTGACTCTCTGATAAAATACTTTACCCAGAGTTGGTATTTACACTCAGTTAGAATCTATATTTCTATCTGCATTTATATTTTTATCTACTTCAAACTTGTGAAACAACACTGTTGATGTTTAATTTTTTAGGATTTAAAACCTAGTAACCTAGCTGTTAATGAAGACTGTGAGCTAAAGGTAATGTAATCACAAGATCTGATTGGTTTGTCTGAGATTTGAGTGAATGCTGTGTGGATGTCCCTTGCAATTAAAGGGTCAAAATAATTCCTTTTGAAAATACTCTTGTAGCCCAAGATACTAATGTGCTTCCCAGATGTAAAGAGATGTAAGGATGTGTTTTCTGTATCTGTTTCTGTGTTTCTAATGAATCATAATGAAAGCGAAGAGTTAATAGATTTAGTTTGGGTTTTAGTTGCTTTGGAGACAAGATATTGAGAGGTAATTCTTATTGTTGAGTCCTATACTGCTCTAGGCTAGTGTATTTTAACTGGTTGTGAAATTTGGTTTCATAATCTGTTTTTGCAGTTCCACTACCTCTCTTCTCCCCATTCCGGTGATTGCTTGATTGTTTGCTCTAGCTGGTTTGCATTGTTCCACTGCAGTAGTTGGTGTATGTCTTTTCTGTAGATCCTGGATTTTGGCTTGGCCCGACACACAGACGATGAGATGACGGGTTATGTGGCTACCCGGTGGTACAGGGCCCCTGAAATCATGCTGAACTGGATGCATTACAACCAGACAGGTAATGCCTCTAACTAACACAAGGCTTTTCAGTTTCTGAATAGTGGGGAACAAAGAGATTGTCCTTGTACCTGCTCCCTTCCATTTGATGGAATAAGTCGGCAGTCATGGTAATTATGCTTCAGTAAGGGAGCTTAAAAGAAGCAAATCATAGAATTGGTGTTTGAACCACAGTCTGTCAATGTAAGTTAAGAATCATTGTGATAGCATTGACAAGACTGCTTTAAATTTGAACCTTTGAAACTGCAATCAGTAAAATATTGTCAGCACTTATCCATTGTTTTCCCTAGCACAGTAGTTTTTAAAGTAAGTGACTGGAATGGATCTGGATGAGGAGAAGGTGTGCTTTTAGGAAGCTGCTGGGAATACACTGAAAAATGTCTGCAGTTATGCTGTGAAGAAATGATTGAAAAGTATATAAATCTATCCTTTCCTCTCTTGTTAGCTACTTGTTCAGAGTTTTATCTTCCTCACAGTTTCCAGTATCTTCTCTCCAGCACACTGCACTTCCTATTTGCAGATCAGGCACAGAGAAGAAAAAACAAAGGCTGAGAATGGTTCTTGTACAGGACAGCATATGCACCATACAAAATAATGTGCTACCCCAATTTCATACATCAATATTTTTTCTTTTTTTTTTTTTTTTTTTCTTTCCGCTTGCATGTATATAGGCTTGTCTTATATCTCTGGTATAATAGTTGGTGGTTGTTTGGGTAGAATTTATGTAAGGCGATGTGCAAATTCATTCCTCAGAGCTGTCTTGGACAGGTTTTGTCCTCTGATTATATAGATTCCTCCCCAGATCTTTGGTGTTCAGTTCATGTTATTCTCTAGAAGGACGAGTTGCCTGATCTAGTATTCTGTTGTTTGTACAAGTTTTAGATGACACAGTTACGGAACTGTATTAGTTAGCTTGCAGTGTATTTCAGATTGCTTCAATGCCATGAGACTATTTAAGGGTGGAGTTGTTTGCAGTACTCGAACAGGGTGATTCTACTGAGATTGTATTTTCATGCATTATGTTGTTTTGCTTTCTTTTTTATTTTGTTCAGTTGATATTTGGTCAGTGGGATGCATTATGGCTGAACTGTTGACTGGAAGAACATTGTTCCCTGGTACAGACCGTATCCTTTAGAAGTAATATATTTTTTGAAATGGAACTTAGAGATCTTCATTTTCACATACTTGACAAGAAAATAAGTTGTGTTTGGTTGTGTACTTTTTTTTGTTTGTTTTCAAATTAATGGCTTCTATTCCAGCGAGATGAGGTGAGTTCTTGATTTTGCTGCACATCTGTTCCTATTTATTAGCATCCCTAGAATTACTCACATGCTGTTTGTTTCTGGGAGTTACTTTCCTTTAAGTTTATTTAAATTTATTAGTTGAGTTTGTAGAAAATACCTGCATGGCTGTCTGCTGAGAATCCTGTCATGCTTCAGGTTTCTAGCAAATGCGAAGCATCCCTTCTGGCTTCTCTTTGTCCTGTGGGTATGCTGTGAAAGCAGTGGGTTTGCAGATTCTTTGGTGCCAAGGTTCTTGTTAAAATTGCTTTGAAATGTTTAGGTTCTGCTTCCACGCCTGACTGTAAACAGACTGTGAGCCTTCTTTCACAGCATCCTTGTATTGATATGAAAAGTCAAGCTTAAATAACGTCTTTCCAAAATTATTTCTTTTTGCCTTATCAAAGTGGACTGGGTAGGACACTTTGGCAAATTTATGAGAACAGTTTGTGAGATTCGGTCACATTTTCCCTGGGAAGTTGGAACTGAGACTTCATGCAAATTGTTGCTCTTAACAGCTTTTCTCCATTCAGGCACACAGCATAGCAGAGTAATTTACTACTGGCAAGAATTTTCATTGCCTAGAGGACTTCATTTGCCAGAGAAAAATACATTGCCCACCTTTGACCAAAGTTTATTATTTCAGCCACAGTTTTTTTATTTTAGTAACTTTTATTAATTTATTAGTATTTATGCCTGTTAATTCAAATATGTTAGCAGTTGATGAAAAGAACACTAGTGTTGGAAGTGCTGGCCTTCTGTTTACTGTGTTGCCTTCAGAAAGCATCTCAAGGAAAAGGCTCTCATTCCAGCTTTGACACAGTAACCTCCCTTTTCAGTGTGCTGTAACTTTATCCTCTTCCCTATTTTTCTGGTTGTCTTCATCTCATAATTTGTCTCCATATTTGTTGAATTGATTGTATTCCACTCTGTAGTCATCTCTGCTGTATATTTCTGTTGTCAGACAGAAACTGAACTAAAACAGAAGTGGCTTCGAAGCTAGAAAAAAAGTTACTCTCTTTCTATCCACTGATTGAGCATGTGTAGGTTACTTTGAACAGATTTGTTTCTTTCAAGAAAAACTGAGAGATCAAGGATTGTTGATTCAAACAAAGCAAAAGTCTTTCAGCTGTTGCCATTATTTGACTCTAGTAACAGTGGCACTTTAGATTTTAAAAATCTTGACACTTGCAGCTAAAATATTTGCTAATAGGATTTGCAGTGTGTAACAAATCCTTCATGATGAGTTCTTTATGACTTGAACAACAGTGATCTTCCAAGCCTGAGAATTTTTTTCTCCAACTGTGTTCTTAGCTGTAAATTATAGCCAATAATATCTGCAATGCAAAATAGAGTTTACTTCTAGGATCTAAATCGTTTGCTTTGTTATACTTCACTAAGTTATATCTCCCAGCAGATGCTTGTGATTGTTTACTTTAAATGCACAATTTCTTCTGCAAATGGCAGCAATGCTTTTTAATGAAATGCTTTTTCTGTTCTAAGATTTAAGAAAGTATGGTGAGATTTAAGAAAAATAAGGCCCAATCCTTTCCCATTTTAGACAAAACTTTGTAGTACTGTAGTTCTTACAGTTTGTGTGTGTGGTTTCCCACTTCAGGTAAATGTATGTGCTTTTTGATTGTGAAGTTAGAACTATAAGGGGAGCAGCGTTGGTTCAGAATCTTGTTTGTGCATGTAACACTCATCCAAGGATCTCGAAAGGACCCAAGCTGTCAGCTTTCATCCCAGTTTTGCTGACATATAAAGACAGCAAGCAGAAGTTAGATAACAGTCAGCTCTAGTTTATTCCTGTCTTGGAGGGCTCTTTGAATATATGCGTGATTTTAGAAGAAAGTTTTTAAGAAATTTTCCAGGTTTAGACACTGTTGGATAGTTCTGGGCTCTTAATAACTTCTTTGTACCCGCAGATTTCCTGAGGCCTGTGTTCCTCCTGCAGTGTCTCTATACAACTGCTGACTTAGTGACTTTGCAAATACTATTAACGTATATAATTCAAGGTATATTTAGCTTGCCTCTAGTAAGTATTGCTTGCCTCAAGTAAGCTTGCCTCTTGCAGTATGTCCAAATCCACTGCAGTTCTAGAAAATTCTCTGTGCAGTTGGAGGCAACATGACTCTGCGTTCTGTGTGTTCAGGAAGCTGGAAATTGCTCCTGTTTGACAACTGAAAATTTGAAATTCTTGCTTTTTGGTCTCAAGATGTTCATTTTTTCGACTCTAGAGCTTCACGTTTCTAAAATTAAAGAGACAGTGACAGAATACATAATGGCTTCTCAGGATGATCGTCCTTCAGTTTAGATGGTTCTTTTGTTTGAAGTATTGGTCCCTTTCACCAAGAATCTGGCAGAAATGGTGTGATGTTATTTACAGTCCATCACATATTTCTTTATACGGCGCAGAGATGCATCTGTTACTTGTAAGAAGCTTCAGTATGGGTAAGCTGTGCAGTCCATTTAATTGGGTAAGTAATAAAGTTGTATTCTGAGATTATGATCTTCAATGCTGTCTATGATGATTATGCCACTGATAAGCTAATGCTGAACTTAATGTTCTGAAGGACCTAATCTGTAGAGATTCTGAACATGGCTGTCATTGATGTAAAGCAAAAATTGAGATACTCTTAGAAAAAAACCCCTATGGTTAATATGGGCTTAGCTCTGCAGTATTGTTACAGTACTCTTAAGTTAAAACTGAATGCAAGGTAATTGAATTATTTGTACTGTAATCTATGGGTAGAAATATTTGGATGGAAGATGGACTTCCAGTATTGATAAGATCTCTGCCAGGAGGCGGAGAAGGGGAGCAAGATTGTGAGAAAGACTAGTGGGAGACAAAAAAATGAGGTAATGAAAATCAGAGTCCTTTAGGCTTTTAGCATGAGTCATAGATAGAGGCTTTTTTTTTTCGTATTATTGTATCTGTCTTATACCAAGATCAGTTTCTGCTAAACGTGTATATTAAATTTTTGCAGCTCTTGTAATGTGAATGATTCACACAAGTAAGTAGGAAAGTTGACTCTGTTTGACAGTGTGACTCGCATAAAATCATATAAAGTGAAAATAAGAATATCTAGAACTGTTTGGACTAGTTTAACCAATTTTGTTTTTCTGTATATTTTACGTTGACTGTATTCCCTTAAACTCTGAAGAGTGTTTTTATTACTGTTTCTATTCAGTAGTATGAGTCTCATGATGACTAACCAATCTGAAATTACCTATTCTTCTATTATGTCTTATTCTTGCTTGTGGTGGCAGCTAAAACAACTTTGAACTTTGCTTTTTCTGGATAAGCTCTTACAATCCTATGATGTCTGCTGCTAATGGTGATGGCAGGTTGTTTTCTGAATTTTAGAATCACTGAGGCTCATCAGTCCTTGGGAGTATCTTGGAGATGGCACTTGGGGTTTGCATGCTGTGCTTTTCTTCTCTATGCACATGTGGTGGTATTTTTCTTCTGCTTTCTATTTACTACATCTTTTTCCTGTCTTTAATTGCTTATGGCTCATTTTCCTGGGATGTGGTAGGCCCTGTAGTTAAAGAATGCTGCAGTTCAGCAGGCTATAGATGGCAGGCCTGAAACTAGAAGCAGGGATGGATTTTGGCAGGCCTGTGGCAGTGCCAGTTACACATCTGTGTTTTCTCTTGTTTATCTCAGAAGTCACTGAAGCATATTACACAAGTAACTTCCAGTAGTAAATGGGGCAGCAATATTGTGGGCATACCTGGTGCACGTGATTTTAAATGCCTTTAAAGTAATTTAAATATTTAAACTGAGGTATGGCATGTGCTTCTGAGGCATGTTAGCAGTTGAAATTTACACAACTGCGTCTTGCACAAGAATGAATGAAAGATGTAAGGGCTGTTTTAAATAGCGCTGGAGAAAAGCCAACTTAAGAGTCAGTTGTGGTTAGTATAGTGCCCTCTGCTATTTCTCCTACAGCAGCGAGCGGGTATTCTGACTTCATTTTAAGCATTGACAATTAAGAGTTGGCAGTTCAGCTAAGCTAAATCCAACTAGATACACTGGGTTTACACTTAGGTTGTGAGTGCTTTAAGTAGCTACAAGTTGGCCAAGAAACTTGACAAGTGAGAATTTAAATCAACTGTTCTGACAAGCTATTTCCAAGGCTTTTAATTAATTTAATATGTAAAACTTTAGACCAGAGTTTACATCAAAATGTGAAGGTTTTAGCAAAATATTGGTGATTTCCTTCATATACAGTTTGCCAGTATTACAGGAACTCAGAGTTGTTGTTTTTCAGTTTGTTTTTTTTTAAACAGGTGACAGTTTTTGAAGTTCCTTGTAGTACTGAAATTAAAATATACTCTAGCAGGAAATGGTAGCTGTATCTTAAATCATCAGGAAGGCATTGATCCCAGAAAAAAAGATTGTCTAGTAAGTAGACTACTTTTATTGCAAGGGAAATGTGTAACTAGTTTGGTATAATTAAAGCAAATGTAAACATTACAGACAGTCTGAAGTCACTATGGAGGATAATTCAGGGAAGAAGAGATATTTTGTGTTAATGGTTCCTAAAAAGGTATTTTGTCACCTTACTATCTTGAGTTTTAGACATAAAACAGTGTCTTTGATGGACCTATTTTTCTCCTCCACTCAATTGTACATTTTGTCACTTAGGCTTTGTTAAAGAGGACAGCTCAGACTGTTATGTGACCTGGTGGAAGCTCTGTTCTGGAGTAAATGTTCTTTGCATCTGCAGTGTTACGTCCTGAGAGCTGTCCACATAGATACATTAAACCTGAGCCCATATTCTGTTTCTCTCTGCTGCTCCAGCAGGTCTGGAGGGCAGAAGGGGACGTGCAGGTGCTTTGGCCCTCCTGAACCTAGGGGCTGGCAGGGGCCAGTACCCTCTGGCAGAGCTGCTCTGGGCCTGGGAAAGTTGTGCCCCATGCTCAGGTGAAGCAATGCTGGAGGTTACGAGCAGGGGCCAATCATCTTCTTACTTTCTAAGTTTTAGAAGTGGCTAAATTATCTTGGAAGGTGTTCACAAAAGGCCTTGGCTTTCTTTTTAATATTAGTGCCCACCCTTTTCAGCCTTCTGCTTTACTTCAGCTGTCACTAACACAACCTAATCCTGCTAACTGCGGCCACTTTGGTGTGGGGCCTGAAGGGGTGAAGGGAGCATATGAACTGATCCTATGCCAGTGGGGCAAAAGCTTAGAGTTCTGCTCTAAAATAGTTAAGGATGCAGTGACCGATTCAATGCATGTTTTGTATGTGTAGACAAGATGTTCAATCTGTCTGATAGAGAGATGAGTTATAAAGGGGTATTCAGTTGTAAACAAGAGGAATTAATATGGTTTGCTTAAAACAGATTTTCAGTCAAGGCCTTGGCAGGAATTAATTTTCAACATTAATAGGGTGATATGTTGCGCTTTTCATTTTGATTTCTCCCAGCATTTTCCTTTATGGTCCATCATTAGATATTGATCAGTTGAAGCTCATTTTGAGACTCGTTGGAACCCCAGGGCCTGAGCTTTTGAAGAAAATCTCCTCAGAGTCTGTGAGTTTACACTTTGATTGTGATATCTGCCCTTTCAGAAGTCCCAAGTTTGTGTGTTGTTCTCCTGTAATCTCTCTGTAGTATGCGTTGGGATTTATTTTCTGTTATTTTAATTCTTTTGCAATTCTTTGCTCTTGGATGGCTTTGAGTTCTTATGCTATGTGTATCTGTTCTTTATTCCTCTTACCTCTGCCCATGGTATAATTTTGTCCTTTCATATTCGCATTTTACGGCTTTGTGACTTTTCTTTCAGTTCGTGGATTGTATGATCAGATATTACTGGGGAAATATTTTTCACAGCTAAGAGCTTGAGGCTTATCTCTATTATTACTTCTCCAGATTACGTACCCAGGGATCTTTCTAAATAGGAGCAAGTGTGTTATCCTGTAAACACACACAGTCCCTTCTGTGCTGAAATTAAGTCCTGAAACACTGCTGCCACTATCTTTGTTTTTGTAGCATAAAATGCCTTTTAGATGCCTGTATCTAGCAGCTGTTTCCAGGGCACACAGCATAGTCTGCTGAGCATATAACTACTTGTGCTTGTAGGATGTTGCTATATGGGGCCCTTTTTATCAAGATAATAGCAAAAAAACCAGCCATATTGCCATTTGCTGTATTGTACTAATCTTGAATTGTGAACTTCTGCAAAGACAGGGTTAAAAATGGCTTTTAACTTTACCTGCTTGTGAAGGTGGAGTGCATAAACCTTAGAGCAAGGGGCGCTGTAGCAGTTGGGAGTAGCAGGTTAATGCACAGTGAGCAGTGAGCTGGCACAGGGATCACTGGCAGTGCTTCAGCAAGTCACTGCTGTTTGTGATGCACAGCAGAGGATCAGAGCAGTGGAGAGTGGGGATAAGATTTAGTGCTGCAGCTTATGTTCCTGTTCTTGGTGACTGTAAATACAAAATGTGAGATTAGCCTTGGATTACATGTGATGAAGATAGATGTACAGTGCAAATTTGAATAAATTGGTCAACTTGCTGAATATTCCACCAATTTATTCCACCAACATCCCAAAGCTCTGGGATGTTCTGCCTTTGGAGAGGTTAGAACTAAATAATGCAGGTTGCTTTGGTTGCTCTATGAACTGACCTTAAGGCCAGTCTGGTGTTTGAAGTACAGGGGACTAGCAAGAGACATAAACTGAAAGGTTGACTAAATTAAGCAAAAGATTAGTTTGCATATGTAAGCTGAAGTGGGTCTTTTATTATATTTATTGTGCAATAATAGTTAAAAATTGCTCTTACCGAGGTCTGAAACAAGAGTCTGTTAAAAAAAACCAGTAAAATACTGTTCTACAATTTTTTTCCATTGTATGGGGAATGCAAAACTATTACGTGTTTGAGGGCCTTTAGTGTGTCACTATAACAAATTGTTTTTCTGCTGCATTACTTTACTTGCTCTCACTTTCCCTGTTCACTGACATCAGTCTTATGCAAAGCTAGTGTTTCGCTAATTTTGCACTTACTGCTTTCTTTCACCTCGCCCACATATCAAAATGCATTCAAAGCTGTTCAGAAGGTGTCAGTTGTGAGCCAGTTTCACTTTGCACCACAAAAAAACTAAAGTACTTCCATGCAGGGAGGAGGTAAAAAAAAGCTGGTAAGCAGTGCAGAGGATACAGGTTTTGTTTCTGTTTTAATTTTTGTTGATTTTCCTGAAGCTGTATATAGCTTCAGCGGCCTAGGAAGAATTTTGAGGTGTAGCTTCAGCTGAAGGAAACATCTACTCTGATGGCTTAAAACTTTTGGGAAATGTGAACGCAACCATGTTGGAGTGTAATAGTGCTTTTATTGAACAGAAATACTTCCTGTACTGGCAGTTACCAACTGATCAGTGATTCTCCATTGTTTCAAGTGTTCACTAGGGTAATTGCTTAACTTCTCACAAGTAGTTGAAAAAATTAGTGGGCCCTGCCTATATGGCTTTTGCCTTGTGGTTTGCAGAAGAGATGCTTTGTATGCAACTGTTTTGTGTTTAAAATGGTTTTTGCACTGTTTTTAACAAAGCCCTTGACTAGGCACTTAAGATATTAACCAGCTTCAGCAGATCATGCGTCTGACGGGAACACCCCCTGCATATCTCATTAACAGGATGCCCAGCCATGAGGTGAGATCTGAGCAGACGAGGGGGGTTTACAGGGCAGGTCTTCACTTAGTGTTCACCTCTTCTATAAATTCTATGCTTGCATGTGGCATGGGGTGGGCAATTAACTACCTGCTCTTCAGCAAGATTTTTGTACTAAATAAAGTCTCGAGATTTGGACAGTGCGTACCCAACCACAGACTTCTGAGACTCTAGAGAGTGTGGATGTGACTTGGTTTTGTATTGTGTGCCATGCTGTGCAGCTTCCCAATGAACAGCACGCTGCACACAGCCTTACTAGGACTCCAGGGAGTCAGCTCTTGCTGTGCCTCTTTGCTTTTCAGTCTTGCATGAACCACAAGTAATGTCAGTTCTTCCTCTACTGTCTTGAGTGCCTGCTAGTTGGGACAGGATAATGCTGATGCACTTAGTACTTGTCAGAGTAAGTAAAGAGAAGGCAAAGCAAGGAAACAGACTATAATAACCAGTGCTTTAGGATAGTTGAAAAGTACTTTGTCTTGGTGGCTGGATTGTATTGTACTTCAACAGAGTATTTGTTTCCACAGGCAAGAAACTACATTCAGTCTTTGTCTTACATGCCGAAAATGAACTTTGAAAATGTGTTTATTGGTGCCAATCCCCTGGGTAAGACTTGTTTTATTAAATGCTGTATTCTTCCTGAAATTGAAGCTAGCATGTCCTGGGACACAAAGACGTTCCCAAAGATGTGTTCTGACTAGTACAGAACAGGGCTATGTACTGTTTTCAAGTTTACAAAGTATGTGTGGGCCAAGGGTGTAAAAGGAAGAAATCGTGAGTGATGGGTGGGTCCTGAGAAACTACAGATTCCTCATCTCTGTTGGGCTTTTACAAGCTTACATTTCAGAGTACACTGTCACACATCTCACTGTGTAATCCTTTCTGTTTTGGTGCTCTTGCAGCTGTGGACTTGCTAGAGAAAATGCTGGTACTGGATACGGACAAACGCATTACTGCAGCAGAAGCACTGGCCCACGCCTACTTTGCTCAGTATCATGATCCAGATGATGAACCAGTGGCTGACCCCTATGACCAGTCTTTTGAAAGCAGAGAACTTGAGATTGAAGAATGGAAAAGTAAGTTTGGGGGAGCGGAGAGAGAGCCAGCTAGCTTCTCTTGTTGTCATAGAATCATAGAATATCCTGAGTTGGAAGGGACCCACAAGGATCATGGAGTCCAACTCCTGGCTCTGCACAGGGGTCGTGTGCAACCCAAACAATCCCACCATGTCCCTGAGAGTGTTGTCCAAATGCTCCTTGAACTCTGACAGCCTTGGGACCATGACCTCTGCCTTCCTGCATGGGGAGTCTCTTCCAAGTGCCCAACCACTCTGGGTGAAGAATCTCTTCCTAATACCCAACCTAACCCTCTGCTGACACAGCTCCAGCCATCCCTTGGGTCCTGTCACTGGTCCCAGAGAGCAGAGCTCAGCACCTGCCACTCTGCTGCCCCTCGGGAGGAAGCTGCAGACCCCAGTGTGTCTCCCCTCAGTCTTCTCCATCCTGTGAGCTGGGTCCATTCCATGAGCTGCGGTTCAACTAAACCCTGGTAATTAGAGGCACAAAAGAAAGTGATAAAAATATGGGCATCCTGTTGATCCTGAGGTCCTTACACTGGCTGAATCTGCCGTATGCTATGCACATATTTAGGATAGTCCCTGGTAACTGGTTATTACTAGGAGCATTCAAACATGTAAGCAACATAGTTGCTCATGTCTTTATGTTTTGTAACTTATTCACATCTCAATGCTCTTTCCTTGTGTATGTTAGTCTCTGAGAGTAGTGTAACCATTCTTCTCTTTTTTGTCTTAATTAAAATATGTTTTTAGATCCTTTAAGGTTGTTGTAGGTTTTCTTGCATGAAGAGATGTCTTTAGTATGCTGTCATAGTACTGCTGCTAAGTTTCTGTCACACTTTTCCCACTAGGCCTGACTTACGATGAAGTAATCAGCTTTGTGCCACCACCGCTTGACCAAGAGGAGATGGAGTCCTGAGAAACTGCTCTCTTCTGTCTGTCCCACTTCACTGTGAAGGGAAGGCCTTTTTGTAGGGACTCTCCAATTATCGTTCAAGTGCCTCATCACAACAATATTCTCCTTGGTGGAAGGGTTTTGTGTGTGTTGAATTGGGGAGGGAGGGGGGAGGGAGGAAAGCTGAGTCCATGTAAACATGCTGCATGCTCTCTTGTATTCTGTGTACAGCCTGGGGCAAGCCTCTGGAGACCTGTTCTGACTGCACTTAGTTCTTCCAGAGTAACAGTGCACCACCATTTTGCACTGCTGGGGCAAGATGGGGAAGCTGACATTTAAAGGTTTGGTTACAATCATTGCCATTTATCAATTCTCCTACAACTAAGTAACCTCAAAATAATGAAAGTTGGTTTATAGGCTTAGAGAGTCCTCTGTTTTCTTCAGGAGTGAAGGTGGGGTTAAGGAACATCCTTGTTCAGTACCAGGTGTCTGATTTATATCCAGATCTTCCTGGTACAGCAGAATGTAGAGGCCTTCCAACGCCTGATCCTTGGAACATGAAAAGATGTTGTTTTGAAACTGTAAATATGTTTGTGCCTTAAATGAATGGGAAGAGAGGGGAAAGGAAATCTCTGACCCACTGTTTTTGAGGGTGAAGGCTCCCACATAGCCAGGCATGAACTCAATGTAATCAGGAAATAACTTTCTGAGGCAACAGCCTCAACCCCTGGATTGGGTATTCCTGTGTTTTTCCCTTTTCTCCTCCTCTTGTTCTGAGGCTTCCTAGCATTAGCTCCTAAGAGACAGAGGTTGGAGAAGATTCTTGCTAGCCACACATTTGTGTATTCTGTTTCTTAGAAGGTGATGTGTTTTGCATGTTGTAGCTGAATGTGCATGTAGAGCTGCTTGATTTTTGTCCTTATTTTTTGGGGATGGCACTGGGGCAGTTAAATCATCAGTGAAATGTTTACTGAGTACCTCAGCTGGTGCTGTGAAATCACAGCACCCTTCCTCCTTTGCTGCAGCTCATTGGGAAATACCTGCCATTCAACAAGGAAAGGAGATTATATATGGCATATGGAAATGTGCCCCTTTTTCCTTGTTCTGACCTTCTGTTTGCAGAGAAGGAGAGCTTGGGCTGGAGAGTTTTTTGTGAGATCAAGTGTAAAAAATGTTCTTTAGAGAAACATGGTATCTTGTGCCAGAACTTATTTCCTGAAAAGAATTTTTTTAGAAGTATTGGAATCCAAAGCAAAGAAATAAGCATGCATAAACACACAATCACCCTTTCACTGTCTATATCTATAAATATAAATATTTATATATATAAAACTAACATTAACCAGAAGGGTTTTTTTACCCTCTCAGATAAGAGCTTCTTGGCTGTTTTTTAGCAGTTTGATCTCTGCCCAAGGAAACGTGAGAAGAGAGTATGTTTGAATACAAACAGGGTTCAAATATTTTGTATTTTACAGGACTCTGCAGGAGTAAAATACCCAGTTAGGGACTGGCAGGAGGGAGGTTTCTCAGCACGCTCATGTGCTAGAACTGTAGCTGGGGAGTTCAGGAGCCCAATCTTAGGGCTTCTGGAGGAGACATTTTTAGACATTAATTTGTTGCAGGCATCTTGTGTGGGCAACTCATCACATCACTATGTATGTGAGGAGAAAGGCTTTCGAAGTATTTTGTATTCTTGTTACCTGTGGGGCAGAGAGGAACCATTTGTAGTGTTTTTACCCTGTTTGAAGAGGCAGCACAAAGGGATGGGACATGAATGACAAAGCCATCGATTCTTTCTAGGCTACTTCCCAGTGATCTCTTCAGGCTAAATATTTAATAAAGGTCTGGGCTGAGATGAAGAGAGTAGTTATATCTAGGATAAAACTCTCCACAGCCTAAAAAAATCAAGACAGAAAACCTCCCTTCTCTGCTGGACCAGCAGTCTGGGTATTCAGATGAAAATGTCGATATACTATGTAAACCTACAGCAAGATTATTTTTATCAGCTGTTTTATGTGTAGATGCTATAGTGTGAGTTCATGCGGAAATATTGCTAAAAATTTTTAAAAATCTAGATGTTGTGCGTGTGTGTGTGTGTGTGTGTGTGTGTGTATGTATGTGTGTCTGTGCGTGTGTGTGAACGGCAGTGTTTCATTTGGAGTCTGTCCCTAAGGGAGCCCATGTGGAATGCACTCCTGCTGTCAGTGCAATGCTGGTCAGCTGCCTGCAGACTGAGCAGGATGCTGCACTTGAAAGAAAAGATCTGCTATTTTGTTTCTATCCATGAATTTTGCTGTAATTGGTTATGCCAGATAAGATGTCACAATACCACTGGTTAAAAATAAAATTTATTTTTCAGATTTACTGCACTGATGGTACTTGCAAACCTCTTACACTAAAGTGTTTGTTTTAGCATGGTGTGTGCTGTAAGAGATCCTGTGTGTGATGGCTGGGGTGGGGGTCGAGGCCGTGTCTTGGTGGCTGACTCTGCTGACATGGAGCTTCTTGTCCTTATTTGTCCCAAGTGAATTCTTTGCTACAAAAGTAGCTTAGAGTCTGACTGAGTATGGGACACAGAAAAAAAGCCCCACCTTTTATTTTCTGTTTAGCACAGGGAAGCAATAATTCAACACAAATAGACTAGCATTCTGCTGCCTACCTGGCCCTGGGACCCTTCCCCAGTAGGACTGGTTTATGCTTGTTTGCTATTTAAAAGTGATTTTTTTTTTCCTCTTCAGTTGCCATCTAGTTGGTGGTGGAAAGATCTGTACCATAGCGGAGCTTTTCCAACTTCTATTGTATATCAGTGCTACTTACTCAGAAGAACTCAGATTGAGCAAAGCTGTGTTCTTCACACTGGCACAACCCTCAGTCACTGAAGTTCCCAGGCCATGATGAACCAGGGGGGTTGTGTTGATCCCAGTCGGGCAGCTGATCCACACAATGTGTGCACTTCCCTGCCACAGAGCTGTGCAGCAGCTGATTTGAGGAAGTACAAAAAAACTTTGTTATCTCAGCTCCATGAGCCTTCTTGTTGGCTTTCACCATCTGTTGGCCTAGGTGCAAACAGTGGAGAGGGAGCAAAAAGCCTAAACAGGACCAGTCATTTGTTGTTTTCTGGGAAAAAAATTCAGAACGCCCAAGATGTACAATCCCAGAATGTGCTCAGTTACAATATATCCTGGTTAGCAAAAAAAAAAAAAAAACAACACAAACCTTAAAATCAGTGAGAATTTAATGGGGGGGGGGAGAATTACACTTATAAAATCAAATTACTCTCATGAAGCTTAACAGTCAGTGTGCAGCCCTTGCAAATTGTTGTCCAACTATGCTCCAGTCAATGGTACGGCCATCACATACTGGGAGTTTGGGTAGGTCCATGATGGGTAGTCTATTACTAGAAGGGAAGCAATGGTAAAAATTGTAACTTATTATCACCTCCAGCTGCACTGTCGAGGTGCCTGGAGAAGAACGTATGGGTCATCCCATCACTTCTTTTGGTGGATGTGGCAGAGTTAGGTTTGCAGTTAGATTTGACCTTCAAGATTATCTTTTCCAACCTAAAGGCTTCTATGAATCTAAAATTTGCTGTTTGATTTGGTCACTTGAATTAACTCATATTTTTACAGCCCAGACATGCTGCAGCTATTTAGGACTCCTTAATTGCGTGCTGATTACCTTCATCTGCACAAGTAGTTGAGCAAGAGTTGCATTCATCAAATAACCTAGGAGTTACATGTTTGCTTATGGACCAGGAGTTTTTGCTGTGACACTTCTTGCTCACAGGTGTATTTACAGAACCCAGCCAAGCAGATGGTTCATTTCCTGACTGTGCTGTTGCTACAGCCAGAGCTGATTTACACAGATATGCATAATACTACCATAATGCCTTGTCCCTAGCTTGTATTTTATAAAGCAGCAGGCTGTGCCTGTGGCTGTAGCATGATTACTTGAAGAACATAAGGGTCAATGCTGATGGGTATTGCAGTGGTTACCTGTAAGCAGGAACAGTGAATCTTTCCCAACCCCCAATAGTGCTTTTTGTGTATTTTTCATTTGCCGGTAGCTTGGCTCTAATTTTGCTGCACAGATATTCTTGGAGCAGGTACACCTTTGCAGATTACCTGTATGGAAGGAGCAGAGGCTCTAGGCAGGGTGGAGGGCTGGTGAGGTAGAACACTGTGTAAGCAGCTAGGCTGGCTTGGTAAGGCACAGCTTAGTCACTTCCTTTGGAGAGCAAAATGTTGAGGTGCCATCTGCTTACTAGGAATGGACCTTCTTGCAGGCTGGGTTTGCTGGTCTGGCCTGGTCATGGTAGGCATAGCAGTGAACCTTGGCTCTATGCTGTCCGTGAAGACCCCAAGAAAGGGTTAGACTTGCTGTGGGCGATGAAACCAGATGCCGCAAACAGTTCTCAGGATGTTCCCATCTCACAGCTGCTCCTGAACCTCCTCCCAGTAGTCACTTGGATATAGGTGGAGAACCTCAGCGTACTTTCAGCACATCCCTGCGCTGCTGGGAAGCCAGACTTTGGAGAACATTGCCATCGCCTCCTTGCTCTTTTATGGATGTAACACTGTGTGTTCTTTGTCATGAGGCTGGAGCTGTCCTTCATCAGCTTTAAAGAAGAATGTCCCTGCTTGTCTGACAAGGTGCTGTGGCTTGTCCCTCAGATTCCCCAGCTCGACAAGTCCTTACTCATCCACTTGTTTGGAGGATGGATTTCATGAGACCCCCTCCAAGCTGCATGAGGATATTTCTTGGCTTGTGAAGGCAGGAGAGTAAGAGCTCCAGGTGACGGGGCTCCCGGAGGTGTGCCTGAGCAGGGCTGGGTGCTCCACTCCTATAGCAGAGCCCAGAGGCACCTGTACAAGACTGAGGCGTGTCGGAAAACCTGATGCCTCACCTCTGCCAATGTGGAGGCGGAGGGAGGAGGGCCAAAAGACATGTCCCTTCACGCTCGCAACAGCTGAAAACAGAGAAGGAAACTCTCTGGAGCCTTTTTTACCAGCGCAGGAGGCCTCACAGTCGCGCTCTCACCCCAGAGACCCTCCCGTACTCCAGTACTCTGGGGGGGTGGCACTCCCACACCCGTCGGGCGATGAACATCACAAGGAGAAGAGGCTTTTACAGACAGGAGGTGAACAACACCCTCTGGGAGCTGCCCAGGAGATACACGTCCCTCCACCCTCTGGGGTCTGGAGCCTACGGCTCAGTGTGGTGAGTGGGGTCCTGCTTGCACTGCCAGCAGCAGTATGGGGCGAGGTAGGGGTGTTCCCTGCCAGGGGGAAAACAAGGAGGTGCTTGTCAACACCTCTCCATTAAGAAAGGACATTTGCATGTGTGATGGAGGTGGTTTGTCTCCTGCTCCGGTGCAGGCAGCGGGCTGGAGACTTGGTCACTTGAAGAAAATGTTTCCCCCTGTGGTCACCCCGGGTGGGCAGAGAGGGGACTGTGTAGGCACGGCAGCAAGGGGTGCCGAGCAGCTTGGGGTGTCACCTCAGCATTGGGGTCAGGCAGCTTTTGAGCTGCTTTGGTCTTGAGCTTGCATGAAGATTATCTGGCAGCAACCCTACCAGGGAAGGGAATACCTAGGTGTCTGAAAGAAATTTGTAGATGGTAACAGAGGTCGATACTGGAACAAAGTATCCTTGCTGCTTAGTCCAAGATAGCTAATGCTGGTCTGCCTGGACTAAGCAGCTGGACAATACCACCCCCACTCTGATACTGTTTCCAGCTTGAAATCATAAAGTAGATAGACCTTACTGTAAACCAGGATCAGTAACAGACTGGGACTTCCTTCACGGCTGATAATAATCCCTAACCCATGAGAGAGCAGCATGAGCTGCGGTTAATTATTCACCTGGGTAAAGGAGCCTGTAGTGAGAGCAAGCAGAAGTCAGACCTTGCTTGGTTTACACTGACAAACTGGAGGAGATGGGCGATTCTTTGAAAGGTAGGTTAAATATGAAGCAGTCCGTGATAGTATCTGAACAGAGCCCTTGTTTCATAACATGCTGAGCTAAAAATAAAAAAGAAAGGTGTATCCCTTTTCATAGGTGTTGGGCAAAGTCTATCCTGCTGCTGTCACAGCACTAATCCTGAAACCCTGGTTTCCAGCTTCTGTCCTTGTCCCTTGGCTTCCAGTTTATAGAGAGGTGCCCCTTTTGCTGTCCAGGTGCCTTTACACTTCTGAGATGCTTAAGTTAGGCCTGCAAAATCAGGCAAGACTAGACTATTTTTTTATATTTGTACAGTTTTCTCAGGTTTTTACCATTGAGGAAAGCAGGAAGGAAAACAAAGACAGGACAAAAAAAGGAAGAGAGAAATCCTTTCAAAATTTCCTTCCCCACCCAAAAAACCCCAACACCAGTAAGACAAATCTTTACTGTTCCCTGTGAAAGGCTCAGCTGCTCTGGAGCTCTCAAGGAGGGAGGGAGGAAAGGGTGTTGAAACAGTCTGGAGGTCCATGGTGGTGGTAGTATCGAATGGACAGTGCTCAGCAGGGAGGGCTTACTGCCGATTTTTGTACAAAACAGAGGTGGAAGCATGTGGAGTTAGGATTTGCTGTCCTCTGCTGGGAATTGCTGGGAAACTTTCCTATTGCAGTGTTATTCAGCGGCTGGCTTTTACACCTTCTTGAGCAGCTGAGAAAGTAACTCAGGAGAAACAGCAAAGTCTTATTTCTTCCCTTATTAATTTGCCAAAATCTGTAGTGATTTGGCTTCCAGCTGAATGTAATTGGGAAAGAAGAGTCTTCTGTCCCCTTCAACACTGGTCTTGTTGATCTCTGTCAGCTGAGGCAAGGACACAGCTCTGCCTGCCCCATGTCATCCCAAACTGTATCTGTTCATTAAATTTGTGCTGGGAAGAACATGGTGGGCTCTCTCAGCTGCGTCAACTGAATTAGCTCTAGCTGTGCTTATGGCAAGGGTGTGACTAGTGCCGTCTGTGCTGCGCAGGCTGAAGCTCCATCACCCTGCTCTCCTGTGTTGGGACATGGGGTTAGGTGCTCTGTATGCCAGCAGCTGGGAAGGCAGGTAAGAAGGTGCACCCTCAGATTAGGAAATCTGCCTTGAATTCTGCAGAAATTGATTATCTAGTCCGAGTGCCTTCCTTTATTTCCCTTGCTCCTCAGAAAACTTTACACAGTGCTGTCCCCTCTGCTGACATCTGCTGAAGTCCTGAAACTGAGACAACTCTTCACTCAGAGGCCTCCTATGATATCCTACAGCATCTTCAGTGCTGAAGCTGCCTTGTGTAGCTGTTCCTGCACTTCCTTTGCTTTTACCAACTGAATGGGGAAATGTGTTTGTGCAAGGCTGGAGGATGCAGCTAAAAGCCATGGGATTGAATATGATGATTTATAGCCCTTCTGTTTCCATGGGAGATGGGATAGGGATTTAAGAAGCTGTGGGAACTGCTCTGGAAATCTACAGTGTGATTTTTTTCATGTTTGCCTCTTGAGAGGGGTCAAGGAGGGGCTGAGGCACCACTGAGACACCACTCAGAATCCTGAATTACAGCTGAGGACCTCTGAGGACCTCCCTTCCCACTTGGAACCTGAGGTCTCCTTTGCAGTCTGAGCAAAAAGCCTTTAGAAGAAGAGAAACTGTCACAGGATTGCCAGTGACATAAACAGCAGATGTGACCGGAGGGAATAACACATCATGTCTGTGGTGATGGCTGTTGTACCATGTTTTACCTTTATAGAAGACTCTCATTTTCAGCCAGACCTGCTTTTACACAGAAGCATATGTGTAGCATCAAAGATCTTGAATACAGCAGAATTAATTCCAGCAGCCTGTATTTTTAATGTGTGACATCCACTGTCTCCAGGATACAGTGAAGGCATTGCCCTGCCTTAAAAGACAAGAGTTTCCAGGCAGATGGCAAAGCAAAAGTTGCTTTATTCCCTTACTTCCTTGCATTAGGGAAGAGGGCAGAGTTAGAACTAATTCTGAATTTCAACCATTTGTGTTTCCCTTTTCTCACAGCTCTGTTACCTCCAGCTTCTTTCTGCAGGTTATAGGGAATAAAGATGAGCCACTAATACTTGGCTAGGAATCCCACCTAGTCATCCAAAGAGCACAGGCTGTGGTCTGCTGCCCAAAGCCACACAGGGTAGCATCTCCTGTGCAGAGCTCCACTGGGTTTCTCAAAGGGCCTTTCTTTGCTGTTCTTCTGTGACCACAAGAATTAACTCTTCTCTAGGAGATGACTTTTGGGATTACAAAATTTGTTAGAACATACTGCCAATGTCAGAATTGTTTTTTATTTGTCTGCTGCAGTTCAGCCATAGACAAGAAGACAGGGGAGAAAGTGGCTATCAAGAAGCTCTGCCGCCCATTCCAGTCAGAGATCTTTGCCAAGAGAGCATACAGAGAGCTGATGCTGTTGAAGCACATGCAACATGAGAACGTAAGTACTCATTTCTCTCTCTTCCTGCTGATACAAGGGATATTTTCTTGCCACTCGGGAGCAAGTTCTTTCAGGTGGCACCATGTTTATTTTTATATATATAGAGAGAGATGGATTATTTTAATATAGGGAGAGATACTGATATTTGGCATGTGTAGGCAGTTTTGGGGTTCAGGTGCTACCTCTGCTGTGCCCAGTTGTCACCAGTCTGAAGCAGAGGTGTAATGGGTCTACCATGTATTAGTAAAAGAAAAACATTTGTGCAGCATCAGTGAGGAGTCCGTGGATTCTTCAGATAGAGTTCTGTGTTCACGCAGATGCATGTGCCAGTGGAGAGCTACTACCTGAGTCCCATGCGCACAGTAAATGCTTTCCAGGTTTAAATGTGGACTTCTCTCCTCCATCAGGTCATTGGGCTGCTTGATGTCTTTACCTCCACTGCTTCCTACCAGGGGTTCCAGGACTTGTAAGTTTGGAGTTTTTTGCTCTATCTAGACTCAGCCATTGCCCGAGACACCTGTGTCTTAGCAGCAGGATAACAGATTGGGTTGAGGTGCAAGGGGCCCAGACTAAAAGCCAGACATCCCTAAATAACACAGAGAATCAAAAGCACATGTCAGTTCCCATGGCTAACGCACTCAGAATACATAAATAGATCACATGCCATACTCACAGCTGGGAGACCACAGAATGTACAGACCAACCTATGTAACGAGGATGTGTTAGGTTCCATGGCTATCACATGTAGTGTGATCCATGCTGTGTGACTGCTGAGCTAAGAGGCTGCACTCAGAATGGGAGAAGTACTGTTTGTTCATCAGGCCCCAGGGCAATTAAAATGAGAATTTTAAAGATCTGGCTTCCTTTTCATCTTGATTCTGGTTTTTCTTTTTTTTTCCCCTCAGTGTTTATGGTCAGGATGGACAAGTCATTTTCCCTTCCCCATTACTAGGAATGAGCAGCATGTGTCTGAATTTGGGGGTTTGGCTGATGGCTGGATATTTAGCAGCCTGCAGGAAAAGCATTTGAAGGTTCTCAGAGCAGTTCCTGCAGGAAGACCATCAACTAATTAGCAGTCTCGGCAGGCAGATACTGAAGAAAGCTTGATGTTGTCTTTTGAGGCAGGGCAGGAGAACATTACAAAGATAAAACTGAGAGCCAACACAGTTTTGCTGTGTAAGATGTTTCAGCTTCCGGGTGGTGAAAGGCTGTCCGGAACTGAACATCACTTGAGGTCTAAAGTAAACTAATTCAGGATTGTAAAGATCCTTGTTCTTACTGGATGTCAGATACCTGATTTAAGAGGAGGAAAAAGAGCAATTTTCTGAGCAGGTTGAAATCCCAGCTTCACTGCAGGCTGTGCTAGTTAGCCCGGAACACTGTCACAGCAACTCATTTTAGTTACAGTAAGTTAATGCAGCCAAAAAAACCCCCAAGGCTAGCCTGGTCCCCTGCGTTTTTCTTCTAGACTCAGGGCTTTGTCTTACTACCTTTTAGCTACCTGGTGATGCCATACATGCGGACAGATTTACAAAAGATCATGGGACATGAATTCAGTGACGAAAAGATCCAGTACCTGGTCTACCAAATGTTGAAAGGGCTGAAGGTAAGTGGGTCTGGAGGAGTTTAGTGACTCCCTCTGTCTCCTCTGTATGGGAGGGTTGACCCTAACTAAACTCCCTTCCAACACTGTATAGGAAGATGTGGGGGTGTTATGGCATCACCTAAGAACAGATATTGGCTGTTGAACTGCTCTTGTTCCAGCACACTGGAAGTGACTGCTTGTTTACGTCAGCTGGGTATCAAAGCAGTCAGCAGCCGTAGACCTTGCGATTGTTTTTCCATGGCAGAAATTGCATTGCTCTTTGACTTGCCAAAACCCTTAGCAAAACTCTACACTGAGAGTAAGAGATTGGCAGCAACAGGAGCTTCTGCTGAAGGAGCTTCTTCATAACAGAGGCTCTCAGGGGAGAAGACAGAGGGACTGATTTCCAATTTAGTAGAATAAGAAAGAAATATGCTTCTGTAACTGGCTTTGAGAGAGCAGAAAGCAATTGCAGAAAACCCCAGGATGTAGAGACAGTGTCTTAATGCTGCCCTCTAACATCCTTCACCTGGAATCAGAGCAGTGGCTTACAGGCATGAGTTCACCTTAATAACATCTTTCCCCAGTTCACTGCTATCTTGAGTTTAAATAAAGAGGGGAAGAACATGCAGGAGGTTTAATTGGTGTGATTAAAGCCATGCAGTCAGTTTTTGCAATTTTATGTTTTTATGCTGGGATTATTTTTCTGAACACCCAAAATAACTAAGTTTTCATGTCATCTGCTGTAACCCTGATGTCTTTGATGGTTTGAAGCTATTGTTGTACTTGCTCTAAGGAACTATTGCTTCATCCTTCCTCTTCTGTTCTATGCATCTTCTTTAGACTGGCAATAGCATTGCAAATACTATCAGCAATTCAGGGGAGAGATTCCTTTTCAAACTGCTGCCCTGCAGTAGCAGGATGCAGAGTTGTGTTCGCAGCAAGTTCTGATTTGTAGCTCTCATTTCTCTGCTGGAGAACAGAAAGTCTTGTCTGCTGGTGATCACATTGTGGCTCCTCTTTTTATTGCAGTATATTCATTCAGCCGGCATCATACACAGGGTAAGTTCGTGTTTGCTCTTACTCTGATTTTTGTCTGTTTGAGAAACACAGCATAGTCATAACGTTACTGAATTCTAAGACATCATTTTACTAATAGCACTGTCTGCTCTGGAGTTTCTTTTCCATCCTACACCCTATATATGTTTGAATTTGCTCATTTGTACAGCATTTTGAGGACATGCTGTATTTTCTGGTGAGCTGAGAAGCATTTTATGATGCTTCTTGAATTAAAACTGTTTCAGAAAAAATAAAACAGCAATCTAAAGCTGAACAGTATAGCAGGCATGGTATCTTTGCTGAATTGGTACTCGACTTGGGATGTTACAAGATCCCATCAAAGGCAAGCAGAGGTTCAGCTGAGCCTTGTGTTGATTGTGTTGCAACTCGAAGCATCCGTATTTTTCTGCTCGTCTGTTGTAGGACCTGAAGCCAAGTAACCTGGCTGTGAATGAAGACTGTCAGCTAAAGGTAGGTGGAAAAGCACCACTTTGGAAGCATGTAGCATATCAGATCATGGAGGAACTGCTCTGCCAGCAAGAACATGGTACTGTCACGTTTCCTCTTGCCTTCTCAATTCAAGGTGTTTTGTTATTTGGCAACTGCAGGCAGTGGGAAATACCTGCTGATGTAACTTGCTGAATCAAGGCGCAAAACTTCAAATAACATCCTGTCACTGTAATTCCTGTGGCATGGCAGTTTGTAATGACTTCCTGGATAAATTCAATACTGCTGAGCAACACTTGCATTAGGTGAACAATCCCTGAAGGGTAACTGGATTCAACTACAGTTGCCTTTTGGTTCCCATTGACATTATGGTTGTGATTCCAGACAAAGTTATTTTTAGTATTACTCTGAAAGGTTTGCTTGCAGTTTGCTGGTGTGGTGCTCTAGCACGTATTTTCTGTAATGTATATTACAGGGAGTGGCATCATTGCCCGTAATGGTTGGGTCAAGCTTGTTCATCTTCAGTATTGAGGGAGAGGCCATCCTCTGTCAGCTGCAAGGTGTTCTTATAGGAAAGGGTGAGTCGTGGTGGCCTGGGAGCATGCCTTCACCACTAGGTCATAGACCAACTCAAATAAAGCAGAGACTTGAAACTTAAGCTTCAAGAAAGAAAGTGACCTTCCAGGTAGCACAGAGCCCTGATCCTTTCAGCAGAGTCTTCTCACAACAACTGGTTTTGCAACTGACTTGCAGTTTACAGTGGAATCAAGACAAACCTGTTAAGTCTTTGAACCATCCCGTGATTGGCTGTGGTGTAGTTGGAGCTTTGTTATTATCTGATTGGATCTGCTTAATTTTCTCTTAGAAGTGGAGTCTTACTTGCCCATAGGATTTCTTTTTTCTTTCCTGCCCTTCCTTCTTCGTCTTCCTTTGCAACTGCAGATTTTGGATTTTGGCTTGGCCAGACATGCTGATGCTGAAATGACTGGCTATGTGGTTACACGATGGTACAGAGCCCCAGAAGTCATCCTGAACTGGATGCATTACAACCAGACAGGTGAGCAGCCTTGCCTCTGCAGCGTGACTATCTGATGACGAGCCTGGGGATCCTGCTGGGTCAAACCTCACGTAATCGTCCAGTTGTTTTTCTTCTTTATCATCAGCGTTCCTGGGAGCGGAGAAGATCCCAAAGGTGTTGCGCCACTCCCAAAGCTAGTGCTTGCGGGAAATGATGAAAGCAGAGATTTTAGCAGCATAGAAAGAACAGAGGAGAATGGGAGTGATATTTAAATCAGTCCCTGCTGCAAGCAACAACAAAAGCGACAGCCCCAGCAATCATTGCTGCCTTTTCATTGTCCTTTTTTTTTTTTTTCCCTTTTTTTTTTCCCCTCTCTCCCCTCCCCACCCCCCCTTTTTCACTCTGAACAGTGGATATCTGGTCTATTGGCTGTATCATGGCAGAAATGCTGACTGGGAAAACGCTGTTTAAAGGCAAAGACTGTATCCTTTCAAGCTGAACCTTTTCCTTGGGGGGAGTAGTAATTCTTGGTGTGCGCTTTTTAATGAATGAGGCTACTGAGAAAAATAGGTGTCAGTCTGGTTTACCGGAAGGTAATCACAGGGACCAGTCTTTTTGGTGAGGAAAGCAGAAGGTAAGAGGGGACCTTAGAAATACACTTCTGTGCTGGCCATGTGTGTGGCTACGAGTTCAACCTTGCATGGCCATAGCTCCATCCCCAAACCTTTGCATATCCCCCCAAGACCATGGACATGTGTCCTGGCATAGATGTGCCAGAAAAATTATCTGTTGATGAAAATGGCATGCCAGGAAAAAAGCCTTGGAGCTCTTTTTGCCAGTCTAATGAACTTGTGTAACTGTTGGGTTTGTATCATTACAAACTGAGCTGAGTTGTGGGAGGGTGTCCAGGGCTCATTCCTCAATGGGCAATCTTTAACACAGCTTGACAGACCTGGATCAACTGACTCAGATCCTGAAAGTAACGGGGCATCCAGGAGAAGACTTCTTGGAGAAGTTGGAGGATAAAGCGGTAAAAAAGTTCATTATGGATTTAGGTCCTGCTGGCAGAGATATGGTGGGGAAGAGGTTAACATGTCTGTGTTTGAGATGGGAGAGGTGCTGCCTCTACAGCAGCAGTGAGGAATTGCAAAGGCAGCCTTTTCCCCTTGGCAAGGAAGACATTTCTCTGCTAGTGGCACATCTGATGGACTTGGTGTGGATTGCAGGAACTCCCATGTGAGGTGCCTGATGCCCTAGCAAACCAGCAAGCTTCTCTATTCTCTAGCTTGGCTCTTAAAACAGAAGTATTTCTGTATCTCAATTGATAAAAATACTTCCTTGTAAACTACTCACTGAAATGTGACATCTGGGACGATTTGCCGTTCTCTCCATTTGCCTTTGCTCATTAGAGCCATGAGCTCTGAAAGCTGTATTTCACATCCCCTCATATTTGTCCACGTGCAGTAATTGTGCTTTCCTTGCTTTTTCAGGCTAAGAGTTATATCAAGTCCCTTCCTAAAATCCCCAAGAAAGATTTGTCTGTGCTTTTCCCTAAAGCAAATCCTCAGGGTAAGTCATCTACAGCATTTCTCACGAGTTTTCACAGTTGGAAAAGAGGCAAGCTGACCACCACAGCTTCAACTCTATTTCTCCTTTTTCTTATAATTCTTATAATTTCTCCCTTGCAGGCTATGCCCCTGCCCCTCCCAGGGCAAATATGTATCAAGTAAAAAACAAAATGATTCTTTATTGCAATAGTGATGTTTTGCTGTTCTTGGCCATTTACTACTTTTTTTTTGTTTTTTTAATTTTAAAATTACACAGTCTGTAACATACAATATTTATGGAAGAGATAAACTTCTGACTTTCATCTTAACAAACCAGAAGAAAGCAGATGCTGGATATAACAGGATGTCCTGGTTCTGGGTTGCAAATTAAGGATTAGGACAGTTGCATATATCAGTTCCAATTAGTATGAAAGTTAGGATGAATTTTTGCTGACATTAGCTTTCTGAAGTTGTTCTTGTTGTAGCCAAGCAGGTGACAATATGATCAGTAGCTCTTAGATAAACAAACCAGCTCTTCTTTGTTCATTATTAATTCCCAACCTAACATCTAAGGCACCATGGGCTTTGATAAAGTGCTATGAGACCCCCACAGTCCACTCCAGTATTTTTTTTTCTTAGTACAGTGTAGATCCTCTTTGTTGAATACCTGGATCTAGTGATCCTTAACAGACAGCCGATGTTAATTTATAATTTTCAGAGTCAAAACTGATCTCTTACAAAGAGCTGTCTTCCCAAGTAGCTTAGAGATGAAAGCAAGCAAAGCTGTTCTAAGAACTGAAAAAAAGAAAGCATTAAAATGTTAAAACCAAGTGGGAATGGGGCTGACAGACTAGATGCTATCTGAGTTTCCTGCCCTCCTGTTTACCACAGATGTATAGATTTCTATATGGATTACTCATGTTAAGACTACTTTGAGATGCAGGACTCTGAGTGAAAGCAAATTATAAAAACTGAAAAATATCTTGAGGTTACTGGCTTGCTCTTCATCCTTCTGCAGCCCCACCTGTGCAGCCCCAAAGCTTATTCAAGACTAATTTATTTCTGCACAATTTAAGTTCTGTTAGTAAGAGCTCCCTGAGGCTGCTGTTGGGCAGACTTTGCAACTCCACTGACAGGAGCTCCTCACTGCCTTGACCGGGTTGAGGAATCTCTTTCATTTTTAGGTCTGGAGATGCTGTACTGGAAATACCAGTCCCATCAGCTTGCAGGGTTCATGCACACGATTCCTATTCTCCACAGTACCTTACTTAGCCCTGTTCCCATCTTCTCCTACAGCTGTGGACCTGCTTGACAAGATGTTGCAGCTTGATGTGGAAAAGCGCCTTACAGCCACAGAGGCATTGGCTCACCCCTTTTTCGACCAGTTCCGAGATGTTGAGGAGGAGACAGAAGCACAACAGTCCTATGATGATTCTCTGGAACATGAAAAGCTTTCAATAGATGAGTGGAAAAGTAAGAAGTTTATTTTCTTTGAAGTTCCTGTCTAGCATGGGACTTTGCTACCCCTCTCTCTTTCCTGTGCACATGCTGAGTAAGGCTGTGATTGCCTGCTGATGCCTCAATGGTAGTGCACATCTCTTACCTTGCTCTTGCTGTTCTGCGTTCAGCAAAGATCCCTCCAGCTCTTTAGGCAGACTTTTTTTGCCTCTCTCCTTTGTCTCTTCCGTCTCGTACCTGTCACTGAATACCTCCTTTCTGCATGTATAACATTCAAGCTTTCATTTGTGTTCTCTAAAATCACACATTCATGGTTATTTTGTTATGTTTTTCAAGAGCTTATTTACAAGGAGATCTTGTCCTTCAGTCCCATTGCACGGAAGGATTCCAAGAAGCAAAGTGGGATGTCATTATAGTGACTGATGCAGCTGTGGCTGGGATTCACTTCTCCTCGACGACAGATGGGATTTATTCCACGCTGCCTTGCTGGTGGCTATCGTTTGGCCTGTGGGACTTCTCTGTGTGCCAACACAAGGATGGCACTATGCTGTGGATATTGAACTTTGTTCTACCAAAAGGGAAGCACTCCAGACAGTTTTCAACATAAAAGATAAATATATTCTTGTTGAAACTTTAAGTGGGAGAATTTTACCTGGTGGGTTTTTGTTTGTTTTTTTTTTTTTTTTTTTTTTACCACTGTATTTGTCCACTTGAGAGAGAAGGGGGTTCATTCTTTCTCATTAGTCTTTTCAAGGACAGGGTTTAGTACATTAATTATGGATAAGGTAAAGAAAAAGGTAAAACTGACTGGGAAGTGAGTCCCAAGCAAAATGATCAGAAAGAGTGACATTCAGCAGAACAAAACTTTATCCAATCTGACTGTGTCCTCCTTCCCTGAGCAGTTACACAGCATCCAGCATAGCAAGGCTGCTGGGATAGTGTCAGCTCCAGACCACCATGGGAATGCAGTTGATCATGGGATCAGTTTGTGTTCAGAGCAGCTCCAAACTCATACTATACACATAACTCTGCTCAGGATCTTCCCCTCTGGAGAGCCACTGCTGCTTCCTCTTCCCTTTCCCCTTCCTCCCCCCTCGCCCCCCCCCCTTTTTCATTCCCTGGGTTTTGATCAGTGCTGTCTCTTCACTGCTAGTTGCAAGCATAGCCTAGGAATTCAAAGCTGCTTCCCCTACTGATAGACTGGGTATCCCAAGGAGCTGTACAACTTAGTTTGAATATGAGTCTGCAGGAAGTTTTCCAGTCTATGCTGAAACTGGTGTATCTGCAGGTCCCTGGCTTATTGATACAGTCATTAGATAGTTCAGTGCTAGGCAGGTACATCCGCTGGTTGTGGATAACCCATTTGGACTGCAACACCTTCTTCCCTATGATGATCAGTCAGGTTCAGCCAGTCATTCCAAAGTCCATCCCAAGGGATTTGTGCCTAGAGACAAGTGTCTTCTCTGTATCAGAGCTCAGAGCACATAGTCCCCAGGGCTAGAGAAAAGTATTTGTTGAGAGGGCATGTGAACTCAGTAATACATGCAGTGTTTCTCAAATCTCCCCCTCCTCTGTAGCTGCTGAGTTATTTTGGTTTGGTTCAGCAATGTTGCTTTCAGTACTCTCTAATTTTCTTCAGTAATGTTCAGTTTTGCTGTACAGACCTCAAGGAAGGGAAAACCACAACATTACCAGAATTTTCTGATCTCTCTTCACTGGGAACCAGAGACAGTGTTGTTGTGTTTCTTGGCAGTCTCTCTATTGCAGCTCATGCCATGCAGCACTTGGGATAACCCTTCAGCGCCTGCCGCTTTTTGATAGGACAGTATTGATGTTATCCTGCTGTAGCTGCACAGATGGTCCATGCTGATGAGACGTGGTTTCTCTTGCCTCGTATCTCTCTGGATCATGTATAAGCCCTTTGCCTCACTTGTCTCTTAAGTAGGGACTTCTTGCTAAGTGTGAGATGACCTGCGTTTTCCTTGAATGGCGAAAGGGAGAAGTTCTAGCTGCACGTGTCAAACAGCAGCTGGAATGTTGTTCTTTTGAACCTGGCATCTGTCTTGGCTGCCATGTGCCCTGAGTAATCTTGAACAGAAGTTGGGGAGAATGTCTCAGCAGCTGCCATTAACATCTTGGAAAGCTGCAGATGTTTAAAGCTACCTCTGCCATGGTAAAATGAGGCTTGGTGGTTTCAGAGGAGGGTCATTGTCCAGGTGAGTGTTTGTGAATGCACAGGGAGATGTTTCAGGGCTGTAGGTGAGGCAGGCTGACCTCCTGACTATATGCAACCCTGGACATAGAGAGGCTGAGAAGACTCTTAAAAGCTCATTCTTGTAGAGAAATTTGAGTAAATCTATGGAGATCTTCAGAGTACAGAGCTTTCTTTCAGAAAGTCATCTGTTAAGGCAAAGAACCCATTCAGACAGAACTCCTAAACCACTGTAAATGGGAATTCAGGGTGTAACTTAATCTTCTTGCCCTTCTCCAAAAGGGAATAGGTAGACCTGAAGAGTTGTCTGGCTCTTTGTAATGATGGTTGAGAGAGGAAACATCTTCACAATGAAGGAGTGTATTGAGCAGTCTACTGGTAGTTGAAGAGGAACTTGCCTAGTTTTAAAGAATAACCTAAGATGCCCTTTGGGAATTGTCTGTCTGACCAGAGGACAAACATGAAGAGGCACTGGGGACTTCTGATACAAATGGGTGTGAGAAGAACAATTTTGAACACAACCAAGGAGGGTACATAGATTACTGAGAGCAAGCATTATTCTCACTTGTTTCAGGGATAGCACGTGCAGTCTCTTTGGTATCAGTCTTTCTGCTGAGTATACATCCAGAAAATAATTTGTGTTTCAGGGACTGGGTTTCTCTGTCAGTTTTCTCTTTTGAAAGCTTACGCTGAATGCTCTGAAATTGCAAGAGCAATGTCAACAGCTGGTGTGTGAGCTCCATGCTCTGGTTTCATTCATTCACCCACCAACCCCATACAGTGAGAGCTCACTGTCCAAGAGCCAAATACTATTTCTTCTGCAATACGTACTATCCCAACAAATGCAGGGAGCTGGTGCTCTGCAAGCTCAGGAACCCTGGAAGTGTATGTGTATTTGGTTTTTGTGGTATGTACTAGCCAGGAACTCAAAATAGAGAGCAGGAAATGTAGCAGGTCGGCAGCGGAAAGACCACGTCTGTCTGTGAAGACAAACTGTTCCAGTGCTTGTGTGGCATCTGAGGACATGTTTCAATGAAGAGAATGAGCTACTAGAAGGGGGTGGGGGGGAAATCACATTGACATTTCATGAAAGGAGCTTGAAAAACACCTGCTTGAGAGAGTTTGTGACTCAGGCCAAGACTGAAGTACTTCAAAATCAGCACAAGAAACGAGAGGGTGTGTGTGACCCTGACAGACACTGTTAATCAAAGAAGGAATTCTCTTATGTGGAGGTGCAGGTGGTGCCTGTTGATGACCAACAGGTAATGGACGTATTCCTTTCATTATGGTTTTTTTTTTTGCCCTTACATAGTTTGCATACTTAAAAATACAAAATCAAGTGATAAAAATCACTCAGCCCTAAAGTGATCCAAAATTCCATAAATTAGGCCAGCCACGAATATGTTTGCTGTTTATATTAAGGATGTATGATGAAAATTTACGTGGATGTATGGATAGAATTTTTGTGCTTGTCTCACATAACATACCAATGTTTAACTTGAAATACTACCAGTAAGATCATTAAGTCCAGCTGTACACTGTGAAAAGGCTGGAGTTTCCAGGTGAATGTGTTTTACAGAATGTTTCACCTGATTTCTCTCTACAAGGCCATTTTCTGAGCATGAGTTTATACAGCTTTTAGTATGATATTCAGCTGGTGCTGGTTCACAGCTGAATCAGTCAGCTTTTTGGCTGACTGATAACTCCTTTTTTGCTGGATTGCACTCCATTAAATAATACTGAAGGGTTAGTATATTATATCTTCAATGCTCATTGAATTTCTGTTAAATGAAAGTCAGTTAACTTTTTTTAGCTAGGCTTGGCTGGAAAAATAAAAATTCTCCTACCATAAACCATGTCTTGAGAACACTTCAACTGAAAAAAAAAATGTCTTAAAACTGTAGGATGTTGAGGGAAAAAAAAATAACACCACTGAGGAGATAGTGCTGGGTGCTTGTGTCACCTTTCTGATGTTAGTGAGGCTGAGAGGGTTATATATACTCCACACAAAACAAGGGTCTTAGGAAGTGCAGCTGAGCACTTGCAAATCCAGCTGAAATAAATGGCAGCTGAGGATTGTCACTTTTGACATATCAGGCTTTTAACTTTCAATACATAGGGGTCCTTTTTAGCAGTAGTGCAGAACAACCAGCCAAAGAGGGATACAAACACTACTCAGTTTTGAGGGTTAATGAATCAACAAAGAAAAAAATATCAGTTCTCAACTCTAAATGATAGTTCTCTTCCCTTTTTGTTTTATATACTTAAATAAAGATGCAGAAAATAATAGTATGAATGAAGGTGCCCAACTCTGTTTTAGGTGTCTTAGCTCCTGCTTTCATTTGAAGCAACATCACTGGTTTTGCACTAGTACCCTCTAAAAACTGGGAGAGCAAAGAAATTGAATTAACTCGCCTCTGGGAGTTGAGAGAAGTTCAGAATGGTTTTTTCCAAATAACACATTAGTTCCACAGCTTTGATATAAAACTAAATGATGGATAACTTGTTTTGATGTTGTAACACATGGCCCCCAGTCATCGGAGATGTCTGAACATCTCTGTGCATGAGTCATCCCACTGAACTTAACAGGGAACCTAATGCGATTATAATAAGCTAACTCCAGTGCAAATCTAAGAGTATAACATTTCAAAACGGGGATCAAAATGGAAGTTTGCAAAAGCTCGTCACATTTACAAAACACACTGAAAGGGCTAAAAAAAAAAAAATCAAGTAAAACCCACTGTTAAAATTCTCACATAAAGAAGGAAAATCATAGAATCTTAGAATGGCCTGGGTTGGAAAAGACCTTAAAGAACAACTTGTTCTAACCCCCCTGCTACGGACAGGGACACCTTCCACTAGACCAGGTTATTCAGAGCTCCATCCAACCCAGTCTTGAACACTTCCAAGGATGGGGCAGCCACAGCTTCTCTGGGCAACCTGTGCCAGGGCCTCACCACCCTCACAGGGAAGATTTTTTTTCCTAATACCTAATCTAAACCTACTCTCTTTTAGTTTGAAGCAGTTCCCCCTTGTCCTCTAAAAAGCCTCCATCTTTCTCATTGGCTCCCTTCAGGGACTGGAAGGCGACAAAGAGGTCACCCGAAGCTTCTCTTTTCCAGGCTGAATATACCCATTCTCTCAGCCTTTGAAGTTGCTCATCAGTTATTGAAATAATTTTATTTATTGTTTAACTAGGAAGCAAATGTATCTATAGATTGAGGTTTAGATTGTTGTTTTAGTCCTTCGTGGCTAGGACCATACTGTTGCATAGCTGTTCTTTTGGGGTTAAGTGAGATCCTATGTAAATCAGCGAGAGTATTGGAACTTTATTTCTAAATCTTTGATATGTTATTTTTCATGCAGGACAAGAATAGATTATTATTTATTTTCAAGTTCTGATACATGAATAGTAGAAAAAG